GCCCCGCGGAGGGGCTGGCAACCAGCAGCAAGCTGGGAGCAGATGGCAGAGACGCGGGGGGCACGGGGAGGAGGGGCTGGGAGAGGCTGGTGGCTTTCGGGAGGGATGGCCACATATGGATAAACAATGAGATAATTACAACCTTTGCGGGGGGAGGAAAGCCCGTGGCTGCAGCATCCTCCTGCTGCCAGCTCCTGCAACCCATCCGTCCCGCCCGGCTCCCTTTGCAGCCTCATCACGGGGAAATTGCTCGCCATAAAAGCCCTGGCTAGAGCGCTGCGTTAGATACAGCTGTGAAACCATTTATCTATTGATAGACCCCCATTGTCAGGGAGAGGGGTTTGGCTTGCGTGTGAGCGAACAATTTGGGAAAAAAAAAAAAAAGAATCCAACAAAAATGACAACCCCAAAAAAACCTACCAACCAACAAACAAACAAATAAAGAAGGAGAGAGACAATACCCGACAGCTCGCAGGATTTCCAGGCCTCTGCCAGCTGGGAAGCTAAGCGTATGAAATATGCATCGTGCCGAACAAAGCAAACTGAAACTGGGAAGCTGTAACCCTTTCCTGCGCGCCGCAGCCGGGCATGGGGAGAGCGAGATCCCCCGGCTGCCAGAAAGGTCAGGGGGGAAAAAAAAACAGGAGAAAAAGCATGGGTAAGGAGGAGTGCTGATGGCTGTCCCTACACCGACACCCAGGCTCTTTGGGTAAAGACCCCAATCCCATAGGATCAGAGGAGCTCAACAGGCAGCTGCTTAATGCAGGTTCACTGCTTAGGAACTGCTTCGGATGTGAGCAGCCGCAGGAGCAAATGCTGGCCCGGGTCGCAGAGCATCCTCGGCTGGGAACAGACCGTGCAGCGACGGTGTCAGGATGGAGCGCTTTGTTTCGGTGTCAGCAGCGATGAGGCAGCTTCATCCTTCTGCCTGTCACCCGAGGGGACACGTAGAGCCGAGCCTGAGCAGTGCACAGGACAAGGGAGAAAGTACAGGGCACAGCAACAGCCTGATCGATCGCACGTGGCTCCCTGTCTGCTCAGGAAACCAGCTCACAGCCCAAGGTACAGCAACAATTAGCAAGGAAGCAGCAGGAGAACCAGCGAGAAAACCTGAGCAAACTGGATGCAAAGGAGCAGAAGGCTCAGGAGAGCCGCAAGGAGATCGGAGGGCTGGAGCACGTGCGTGAAACAAATCCAGCACTCTCATCAAGGGAGGGGAGAAAAGGAAGGGAGGAACAGAGATCCAGCAAACTTTCAGCTAAGTAGATTATTGATCTTCAGGGTGTGCCAGGAGCCAGCTCTGCACATTACAGCAGTCCCCCGCTGCAAGCTCGGGCAGTTCCCGGATGGCAAAGCAGAACCGCTCCCCACCTCCCCGCTCCCGCCACCCACATGCCGTGATGCCACCGAGCTCCTGTTTGCACCTCACGGTGGCAGGACACGCAAACATGTCCAAAGGGTGACAGCGTGAAAGGGAACAGCACAATCCCCCGGCGCCTAAGGGGAGAGCCGGTGCTAGCGGGGAGCAGAGAGCCAGGGGAAAGTCTGCTGGGGGGGAGCCAAAGGCAGCAACCTCAGCCCAATGCACGCGGGGAAGGCAGCGACCTTGCGAGGCTCCATACAGCTGAGCAAATCATTTCCTTGGCAGCGGTGCTCTTTCCACTGGCAGTGGGGAGGGTTTCTGCACGGCGGAGCCAAGGTGTGAACGCCTGGTAGATTGCCCTGACAACGCGCCGCGCCTAACCCCCGGCACGAGCATCACCTGCGCGCAGGAGCCCAGAGGGTGCTGAGAAGGGATGCTTGGAGCTCAGCATCCCACCAGATCTGCCCCACCGTGCTCGCCCTTAGCTCCCCGTGCTGCTGGGCACGGCTG